CAAGGAAAACCTTGAATTGGTATATAAACATCTTCCTTAACAACAACAACAACAACAACAACAACAACAACAACAAAATATATATATAAATAATCAGGGGGGATGATCCAAGATGGCAAGAGTAGATACATGATGCGTTTGCCTCATCCCATGAACACATCAAAATTACAACTAAATTATAGAGCAATCAACTTAGAGAACCATTTGAAGTCTAGCTGAGCAGAAGTTTTATAACTAAGTATATAAAGAAGAAGTCACATTGAGACCGGTAGGAGGGACAGAGATGCAAAACAGGATGGCCCCAAACCTCCATATGGTGGATAAAAATTGGAAGGGATATCTTGGCCACAGAGGTTCCCCACAGAGGAGCAAGGGACCCGAGCCCCCCACACCAAGCTCCCCAGCCTGGAGTACTGGTATCAGGAAGAGGAGCCCCCACAACATCTGGCTGTGAAAAACAATGGGGATTCCAACTGTCTGGGTGGGATGGAAGGCTGTGGGAAACCCAGATGTCTTCTTAAACAGACCACACACAGATTCACTCACTTGCAGGCACTTACCCCGGGCTCTGGCGGAGGAACGGTGACTCGGGGGGTGTCAGAGGTATGTGGGAGATGGACTGAGGTGTGTGGCCTTGGGGAGGCGGTGGGGCGGGGAGCAAGGCCTGGAGGACAGTCTGCATTTTCCCTGTGTGGGGTCCTCCTCCCATGCAGCCAGCAGGAGGACACCATCTTTCCTGTGTTGAGCCCCTCCCGCTATACTTACAACCAAATCTGAATCTGATTGGCCTGGTGAGCTCCACAGCTCTTCCCTGCTGACTCACTGAGACCTGCCCCACCCAACTCCCTACCAAAGGAGGCTTTATTGGTGTCTAAACCTATGGGAGCTGGCAATAGGCAGCAGGTGGCAACAGGCCTCAGAGTGTCCTGGCTTTTTGTGGCGCTACTACAGACCCTGTGGCAGGCTCAAAAATATGGATAATAAAATGGCAATACATATATATCTATCAACAATTACTTTCAATGTAAATGGATAAGAAAACAAAACCCTAACATTTGTTGCCTACAAGAGACTCACTTCAGATTTAAAGACACACACAGACTGAAAGTAAAAGGATGGAAAAAGATATTTCATGAAAATGGAAATGGAAAAAAAACAACAAAAAACCTGGGCAGCAATACTTAAAGCAGACAAAATAGACTTTAAAACAAAGGCTATAACAAGAGACAAATTAGGACCCAGTAATTCCACTTCTAGGCATTTATCTGAAGAAACCCAAAATGCTACTTCAAGGGGACATTCATATGTTAATTGCAGCATTATTTACAGTCACCAAGGTGTGTAGGCAGCCTGTGTGCCCGTTGATGGAAGAATGGATGAAGAGGAGGTGATACATATATATATATATGTATATATATATAAAATGGAATATTGCTCAACCATGGATGGGAATGGGTTCTTGCCATCTGTGGCGACATTAATGGATCTGAAGGGTATTGTGCTGAGTGAGTATGTCAGGCAGAAAAAGACAGGTGCAATGTGATTTCACTTATATGAGGTGCGATCAAACATTATGGTGAATGCTGAAATAAAAAGAAATTTATTACAGTAAAAGTCACATTGCCATTCATTCCCCTCAAAATATTCCCCATTGCTTCAAACACACTTATCCCATTGTTCTTGCCACTTTCTGAAGCAGTTCTGGAAGTCCTTTTTTGTGTGTGTCTTTAGTTGTGCTGTCATGGCTGCCTCCATGTCCTGAATCGATTCAAAATGTTTACCTTTCATGGTCATTTTGACTTTGGAGAAGAGCCAGAAGTTGCACAGTGCCAGATCCAGTGAATAAGGTGGATGAGGGCACAGTGTAATGTTTTTATTTCACAGAAATTGCCGTACCAGAAGCAACGTATGACATGGAGCGTGGTCATGATGGAGGATGCCCATTTCATATTAATGTGTTGTTTGTGATCCATGATTTACGGCACACTTTAAAACACACCTTCTCTCAACTGTAGCTCACACCTGACTGACTGCACCGAATAAGTTGAAACTTGTCACACACTGTTACTAAGGTTTGATGTGCTGCTTCCTGTATTGAAGATCCCTGCCTTTCCATTAAATGGCACTCGGCAGCAGCATTCACCATATTTGTTGATCAAAAAGAAAGGCTCTGTGTCACACATGGCTTCTGGTATATGACAATTTTTGTCAAATAAAAACATTACGATGTGTCCTCATCCACCTTATTCACTGGATCTGGCATAGTGCAACTTCTGGCCCTTCCCTAAAGTCAAAATGATTCAGGACATCAAGGCAGCCATGACAGTGCAACTAAAGACACTCACGAAAGAGGACTTTCAGAACTGCTTCAGAAAGTGGCAAGAATGATGGGATAAGTGTGTTTAAAGCGACGGGGAATATTTTGAGGGGGATGAATGATAATGTGTCTTTTACCATAATAAATTTTTTAATTTAAACATTATTTATATTAAACATTCACCATATTGTTTGATCATACCTCGTATATAGAATCTAAAGAACAAAACAAAACAAAACAAACAAACAAACAAAACAGTACACACTCACGATAAAAAGAACATTTTGATGTTTGCCAGACAGGAGGGGGGTTGAAAGGGTGGGTGAAAAAGGGGAAGGGATTAAGAGTACAAATTGGTTTTTACAAGTCATGGGGATGTAGGGTATAGCAGAAGGACTATAATTAATAATATTGTATGGTGTCAGATGGGTACTAGATTTATTGGGGTGATAGATAGGAGGGGGTTGGGGGACAGGGTAAAAAAGGTGAAGAGATTAAGAAGTACAAATTAGTAGTTACAAAATAGTCATTGGGATGTAAAGTATATAAAATATAGTCAGTAATATGGTAATAGCTATGTATAGTGACAGGTGGGTAGTAGACTAGTCAGGGGGATCACTTCTTCAATTATACAAATGTTTAACCATCATGCTGTACACCTGAAATTAATACAAAATGATATTGAATGTTAATTATAAGCAAAAATTTAAAAAGGGGGAAAAAGGTGAAGGGGAATAAGAGGTCCAAAATTTCAGGTATAAAACAAATAAGTCATCGGGATGTAACATACAGCATGGGGAATATAGTCAATAATATTGTGACAGCATGGTACAGTGTCAGATGGTTGCTGGACTTATTATGGGGATCACTTCTTTAGGTATATAAATGTTGAACAACTATGGTGTGCACCTGAAACTGATATAATATTGTATGCTAGCTAGATGTTTAAATAAAAATCTTTAAGAAAATGTCAGGCTCAGATGGTTTTACTTGCAAATTCTACCAAATGTTCAGGAAGAGGGAATTTCAGTGTTGCACACAGACTAGAGAACAAGAAGAGAGAATAGACAACAACAGCGACAGGAAAGGAGAATAACAGGTTAAGAAACACAATAAAGAAAATACTATATGTAATAGCAAAAATATGCATAAGGCACCCAAGGGAAAAAAGTCTAACAAAATCTGTTTGAGATTTTTATGGAGAAAATTATAAGACCTTAGAAAGATATTATAGAGTAGACCCAAGTAAACAGAGGGACATACCATTTGTATGGGTTGGAAGAGTCAATATCATGAAGATGTAAATTCTTCCCAAATTGATCCATATTTAATAACTTCTAACAAAATCTCAATAGGACTTTTTCATTGAATTCAAAAAGTGATTCTAAATTTAAATGAAAAAAATAAAAAAAGGCCAAGAAGAGTCAAGGCACTCCTAAAGAGGAACCTGGGAGATTTGCTCCACCAGATAAGACCAATCACACGACTGTCATAGGAAGACAATGTATCCTGACACGGAGATAGAAACATTGAACATGGAGCAGAACAGACAGCCCAAGAACAAATCTATACAGATGGAAACCTGACTTACGACAGCGACAGAACTGTCAGGGAATATCAGTGGGCAAGGGAACACATAAATAATGGTGCCCTTATAGAAACAATTGCTATTTGTATGGAAAAAAATAAAAATGGACCTCAAGCCATATCCACAAAATGAATTTCAAACCTAAGACTTAAACGTGAAAAGAAAAACTCTAAAACTTGTAGAGGAAAACATAGATTATCTTTATGACTTGGGTAGGGACTAGGAAGAGATTTCTTAGCCCCCCCAAAAGAAAAAAAAAGGAAAAGTTTAGTAAATTTGACTCGGTTAAAATTAAGAATACATGCTCATCAAAAGACAGAATAATGAGAATGAAAAGCAAAGCCACCAACCAGGAGAAGAAAATTTACAGTACATCTAACTGACAAAGGATGACTATCTAGTATATATTTATAAAAAAACTAAAACTCTTAACAATCCTTAAGGGAAAGACAACTCACCAATAGAAAATTGGATGCAAGTTAGGGATAGGCATTTCCAGAATAGAAAACAAGAATGTCCAAAACCCATGAAAAGATGTTCCATGTAACAGTTTGACAAAAATTAAGAAGTCTGACAATTTCAAGTGTCAATGAGGATGCAGAGCAAGAACAGATCCCTGCTGGCAGTATAAATGGGGACAGCCTCACCTGGCATCACTTGGTAAGGCTGGCCATGTGCCCACCCACTCTGTGACAGATGCAGTCACCCCCTCTCCCAGGTATATCCTAGAGCAGCAGTTTTCAGAGTGTTGTCCATAGACTCCTGGGGGTCCACAGGGGCAAAACTGTTTTTATATTCATACAGTGTTACTGCCTTTCACTGTGTTGACACTGTAGCTATGTGTAAAAGACTGGAGGGAAAAATTGCTGCCACCTTAGCCACAGTGGAGGCAGAGGCACGGAACCATTCTAGGGGTCGTCGTGTCTCCAATACCACACACACACAGGTAAAGAAAAAAAAGTGAGTGTGACTTAAGAATGTCTTCGCGGAGGCAACACTTTTTTCAATTTTATTAAATTTTGACCCTCAAGTACACGTCTTTCTCATGGTCTCTGAAGAAATGGGAGCACACACAGACACTTCTGCTGCAGGCAGATGTCTGATGGTCATCCTGAAGAAAAGTGCAGACTTGTGAGCTGGCCACTTTTCTCAAGGGACACCATTTTCACTTGCAAGAGGGACTGACCTACTAAGGTTATTCAGACTTCAACATTTGGCTGATATTGTTTTGAAAATGAACAAAATAAGCCTATCAATTCAAGGAGAACAATTGATAGTATTTGTTGCCAATGATAAAATTCAAATTTTCAGGAGAAAATTGGGAACTTATAAAACATGTGTACACCTCTGGAAGCTTGACAGCTTCCCAATACTTAAGGACTTTTTTTTTTTTAAGCGAAACCAGTAAGTGACATTAATGAATGTGATTTAAAAATATTGTATAATAAAATGTGCCAACATTTGGAAGATCTGTTTGATTCAGTGAACCCATATTTTCCAGATGACCAATGTATAATGTTACAAAATCATGCAGGTCAAAAAAGAGTTATTCAAGCTGCAAAACGGACCAATGGATTTTAATGTAATAGAGTTCAGAAAGTCCATTGACATATTTTCATATTGCAAATTGCAATTAATCCTTAAGAACCACCCTTTGCTGAGTTGTAGTGTAGTATCAAAGAAGAGTATTCACAACTAAATTCACAACAATCTGAAATGACTGTAAAGTATCGCTCCTTTTCCCAACTACATATTTGTATAAGGTTGGATTTCCCACCAATAATGTATGTCAAGAGACTGAACTCAGAAGCAGATAAGAGAATCCAGCTTCTTCTGTCAGTCATTAAAGAGATTTGTAAAAATACTGTAAAAGAACGTCATTCTTTTTAAAAAAATTATTATTATTTTTTAGAAACAAAAAATTATTTTATTTTGGAAAATGTAGTGTTTTTCATAAACTATGATACTTAGGTTAACATATAATGCGTTATTATTTTTTTGAATAAATAAATGCTAAAAAGTTATCAGTTTTAATGGCTACTATGATAAATATCGGTAGATAAACTCGACATAACCAAGTTTTTGGGGTCCCCAATAATTTTTGAAAGTGGAAAGGTGTCCTGAGACCAAAACATTTGAGAACTGATGCTCTAGAAAAATTTGTACCCATGAACCCCAGGAAACGTTTAAGAATGTTCACAACAGTAATATCCGTAATAGCAAGAGGCTAGAAACTACACACACGTGCATCTACAGTTAGAGGAGGTAAATGTCACGTGGAATCTTCACAATAAAAAGTAATGCTTGGAAATTACCCCAACCTGAAACAAAACAAAACAGAAAAACAAACAACCCACTACAAGTGGCAAAGTCTGCTTCCCACTCCTGCCCCCAGCCCCACCCTGGGCTCCCCAGAGTGACCAGTGATCCTAGAGACTGCCCTGCATGTGTGAGCAGGTCTGTGCCGTGCTCCTGCCTTTTTGTCATGGTTACAAGTGGCACATACTCTGTCACTACTCTTCACCCTACTTTTTTCTCTTGACAATGGATCTTGGTGATTATTTCATACTTATAGTCTCTCTTACTCATTTTAATAGTTGCATAACATTCTACATATGGATGTATTATAATTTTTAATCCAGTCCCCAGCCTTTGGATGTAATAAACACTGTTTATTCCAAATCTTGTTGTGCGGACATCTTTGTGTACATGGGTGTGTATATCTGTAGGATAAATGAGTAAGTACAGAAAGTCGGGATCCAGGGTGCACATTTTAACTGTTGATGCTAGTGCCATGCTGCCCTTCAAAGTGGCTGTGCCAGTTTCACTCCCTACCAGTTGTGTATGAGTGTCCCTTCCCCTACACACCTGCCATATTAAATCCATGCTAATCTGAAAGGTGAAAATGCAATGCAAATTTAGTTTGCGTTTCTTTATTAGGTTCAAGGAAGAAGACATAATGTTTCCAGTTCTGATTCGCATTTAACCTCATTGATAAACACCAGGCACCCAGCTGGTTGGGCTCTGAGAGGAAAGGGGCAGGTTATGAAATTCAAGTGTGGAGGGTGTCCTGACCGCATAGCCCAGGAGGCCCCTCCACTGTCAGAGAGGGAAGGGAGTGCCCTGACCTTCCCAGGGCAGCCCGCACCAGCCTGTGCTTCCCCGAGTGCCCGCTGGAGGGCACAGGCGCCCACCAAGACACACCCGGAGGGCAGCGGTGTCCCTGAGCAGCCCAGAGGCGCCCTCCACCCTATTCCCCACCAATGGCTTCAGCTCCCCGCCCGCATCTCTGCCCTCGCTGGGTGGGTGACCCAGCCGGCACGTCCTGGCCCTCCCAGGCTTCCCCCAGACTTGGGGTTGTCACAGACTGAAGCCCATGGCCTGGGGGCTTGGGTGGAGTGGGGTGGGCACAGCCCCTCCAAGCCCACAGCCTGCTCTGGGCCCCTCCAAAGCTGGCCTAGGTGATGCTCGGGTGATCCCCCAGAGGGGTCAGTGGGTCACTGTGGGGACAGCCTGTTGAAGGGCCTTCTACCTTTGTGCTGGCCAGAGGGTCCTTGTTCACAAAAGCCTGGACAAACTCTTCAGGCCCGATGTGTCGCAGCCGTTCCTGAGCAGAGAGGGAGAAGAGGAGTTGGAAACGGGAAGTTATGGGAAGGGGGTTGCACGCTGGGGGCCTGGCATGGTGTTCCTGCGGGCTTTTTGCCTCCCAGCCCACCCCAGGAGGGCCTCTGGGCACCTGCCCTTTTCACTGGGACTCTGCAACCCTGTTCTGGGTTGTCACAGAGCTCAGCTCCATTCCTAAAGGAGGGAGCCCCTGCTTTCCCAAACTCAGGGGCTGTCTCAGTTCATGGGTGAGGTGGAGAAGGAAATATCTCCATAGGGAGTGCTTGTGGGGTGTGATGCCTGGGAAACCAGGCTCAAAATTGGGTAATTGATGACCCACTCCCTCAGGGGAGGCCTAATGGCTAAGAGCATGGGGTCTGGGTAGAATTGAATTCTGGCTCTGTCCCTTCTGGTGTGTGACTTCTGGCATATCACTTAACCTCTCCCTCATCTGTGAAAAGGGGATAATAATAGCACCTATCTGGTAGGGTGGTGGGAAGATGAAATGAGATAGTGCATGTAATCGTTGAGTATAGTGCCTGGGGAACAGCAAGAGACCCATAAATAGTGGAGGTTTAACAGGAAAGAAACCCACTCTCCAGCCTCCTCTCTCTCTGGAGTGGGCCCCTTGTCCTCTGCACCTACGAGGAACCCAACATGCAGGAGGCTCGGCCTGGGCATCCCTTCCACAAGCGGGATCCTCCCACATGGGTGGTATCAGAGCCAGGATTTGAACTCAGCTTCTCTGTTCCAGGCCTGGACTCTCATGCTGGCCAGGGGTCAAAGTTGGGCAGGGCTGGCACCTCCAGCCCTCCTGTTCTTGCCCCAGGAGTGGCGAGAGACTATTCCAGAGCCAGGGCCCCCTAGAGATGCCTGGCTGGCCCTGCTCTGATGGGCTCAGGCCCTGGGTTATGCTGAGACAAGGATAGGGGTCAGATAGGGGTCCAGGGGTAGCCAGCAGTTCTCAGTTACTCCTGGCTCTGGGTCTAGGCAGATGGTGGCATGGGTCTGCTCACCAGCTCCACGTGGGTCAGCTGCTGGGCCAACATGTAGGGGTCACTACAGACGGCGAGGAGCTCCCTATGGATGGAGGCTGGTGGTTTGGTCCTGTAGGCGATGGGCTTGTCGGCACCCAGCAGGCTTTCCGGCCCCTGGCCCAGAGCTGCCAGCTTCTGGTGCAGAGCCTGCAGGAGCTGGTGCATTTTCCTTCTGTAGGCCTGGAGGGTGGAGAGAGGGGCGTGCAGGCCTGAACACCCATCTCCACCTCTCTAACATCTAAGTGGGCAGGCCCCTGGGCTGGCAGGGATGGGCTGTTCCTAGGTGTGCCCGCACCTGCCCCACCCTGAAGCAGGACCCAATCCAGGGCAGGTTGGTACCCCGTCAAGGCTGCAGGGTTACCAGAGGGAGCTGACAACAGCACACATCAGAGACTGCGGTCCAAAGCCACTCCAGCTACCTGGGCAGCACAGCAGGTGGACCAGGCGGTGCCGGGAAGCAGAGGAAGGGAGGGAGGAGGAGGAGGGAGGCGTGGAACGGGCCGTGCCCTGGGCAGCTGGCCTTTTCCTCGGCTTAGTCTTCAGGGCCAGGCTGGTTCTGGGCACACAGAGGGCGCTGGACAACTACCTACCGTACCAACAGACTCCCTCAGCAAGCAGCTCAGGTGGACAGGTTCCTCTCTGGGACACCCTGGGCTGGGTGCAGGGACGAAAGACCATGGTCCTACCCTCGAGGGGCACCCACACTCCTACCCATGGGGAAACTGGTCATTTGCCCCAACAGAGGCCCTTATTTCCAAGGAAGGCGCCATGAGACTGGCTAGGTTACTAAGCAAAATGCCCACACGTTCACAAGGGTGTCAGTAGCCCCCAAAATGAGTCCCTGAGCTTGTCAGCAAATGGTCCCCCAGAGGCAGACTCAATCCCCCGCAAACTGAGGAGCTGAAAGGGAGTGGTGCTGGGCACCAGGGCCAGGTCTCCGGGTAGCAATCAGGTGTCAGGCAGACTGGTGGTGGTGTGCCTCTGGTGGGGCCGGGCCCAGAGGCCTGGGAGGATAACGGCAGTGAATTGTCTGTACTGACAGGTCATTTCAGATCAAGTGCATTTTCATCATGCGGTTTTGACACACATAAACCCAGATGCATTTTGTAGGTGGGGTGTCTGGCTTGCTGGGCCCAGTGTGCTTGGGACATGTGGATGGCTCTTCCAGTCTCTGACGGGGCTCTAGAGGACTGCTGAGGTCCAGCACTGTTGGTGCCCAGAGCTCTGGTAAGGGATATTGTGCCCACCAGTCTGATGGAAGTGCTTCTCTGGGAAGTGGCCACGGGCGCCTGTGGTGGCCCTCTGGACACAGGGAACAGGACAGAGGCTGCCTAACCTGAACCTGAACCCTAACTCTCAGAGCCATGGGTGGCAGACCTAGAAGGCACCCACTGGTTAACTGGGCAGTGTGGGGTAAGCTGACGTCTGACTCTTCTCTGTCATCCATGGGTGGAACAGTCCCTCTCAGCTCTGCTTTATCCAAAAGTATGGTCAGCACGCTGCCTCCCAGGTCTTCATTTGAGTGCCGGGAAGATGGTGAGTCGGGTCCAGCCACGGCCAGCCCTGGGTGACACAATCAGTCACCTGTGAGCCCAGACACCACCAGCAGCCCGCATCTCTATCCTTATCCAGCCAGTCATCCTGGGCGACTACACCAGCCGTTGATTCCCTCATCCCCATTCACACTTCCAACACCCCATTTGGCTCAACTCCCTTCAGCCATTGGACGATTCTCTCTGTTACCCTGGGACCCTCCATTATGAAAGCCAGGGGCCATTTCTCAGACTGCCTGGGCCACGTTGCCTCAGCTTTGTTGTCTCCCCCTTGGGATGTTCGCAGGCTTCTCTGTTGGCACCATGGCTGGGTGCTGGGGTTCCTCCTGTCTCCCTCCATCCTCCCTTCCCCTCACTCTGTACTTCATCCCTGGGTGTGCTGGTTCACATCCAGAGCGTCATGTGTGTGTGTGTGTGTGTGTGTGTGTGTGTGTGTGTTTACACATGCAGCTTCTCTGATCGCCAGAGCCGCATGGTCACGGAGCTCCCTCAATCCAACATGTGCAAGTGGAAGTCACACTGTCCTCCCCCAGAGCTGCCTCCTCTGCCAGCCACCGTCTCAGTGAATGGAGCACTGGCAGGCATGCAGGCCTGGAGCCATCCTCCAGAGCCCTCTCGCTCATGCCTCTCCAGGCCATCACCAGCCTCTTGACTTTGCTTTCTTCGCTTTCTATGCTTCGTCTTCCACCATGGTCCCCGTGGTCACTTCCCTGGTGGCTGCAGCAGCCTCCCCAATGGGCCCCTGTGTCCACACAGGGGGCTCTCTCCACTCCACTCTGCTGCTAGCAGTCTGTTCAAACTGCACATCGGACTCCTGCACCCCCGTCCTTAACATGCCTCCCCACTGGCACAAGGACAAAGCCCTGCATGGCTTGGAGGCCCTGAGGTCAGCTCTGGCCTCGCTCGACGGCCTCCATGTGGCCCTTGCTCAGCTTTGCCTGGGCTCCAGACACAGGCCACTCAATTCCTTTGACACCTCCCCCACCTCTACTCCGTGGCCCTGACAGGGCCTATGTAGCCTTCTCCCTTTTGTCCTTATTCTCTGGCCAATGGCTATCGGTGCCCTTCCTTCACAGCCCCTGCCTACACCCTGCTCCAGGCCTGTCCTCTCCCCCTGCCTCTCCTCTCACTGCACTGCCAGCTCCATGCTGACCACATGGGCCACGCTGCTCAGCCCAGCGTGGAGGGCAGTGGCTGGCTCTCAGGAGGGGCCCATACAAGTTTGCTGATGGATGGACATGGTCAGTCAGTCTTTCTAGGGTGGACCTGGGGCCCTCCCGAAGTCAAGGATGCAGCACGCCTGTGCCTTTGGTTCCAAATTGTGCTTACCCTATTTAAAAATATGCAGATGATTTAGCAGGAGTTGTTTCTATTGAACCAATATTCACTCCAAGTAATTATCATTTCCTGTGTGCTAATTCATCAAGAATTTTTCCAGTGGTATTAACCCCAAGCTTATTGATTGCTTCTTTCCCAGGTCTTCTGGCCCCGCTCTGAATGTGGGGATGGGAATTGCCCTTCTCTTTGACCTCCTCTCATTTTCTCGCTGATTTGTACACGTTGTGGATAGAGGCTGGGAGATCTCTGTGCTACATCTGGGCCCACGCAGAGACCCACACTGAGAAGGCTGGTGCTTTCCTTGTCCCTGGCAGGAGCCCATATTTCGGAGCACCCCAGCATGGCTCGCCCACAGACCTGGGAGGACTGGGCCGGAGGGTCTTCTCCATCCAGGTCCACGGAGCCACCTGCTGCATGCACACAGCCAGGGTGAAGTGCAGAGATTGTCCGAGGGTGCAGCTGCGGCTCCTCAGGTGCCTCCAAGTTCTTTTGGACTGTGTGTTTTGTGGTTAGAGCCTATCTCTGGCCCGGCAGGGGCCTCTGTTCTTCCAAATTCTTGAAAACTCCCCCTGAGCCAGCCCAAGGCTGAGTCCAGTGGGCTCAACCCCCCCGCCCCCCCTCCCACCCCTACCCTGGGGGCAGGAGCTCTGCACCCCCTGCCAGTTTGTTCTCAAAGTCAGCTTTCTGTCACCTGTGTCCTCAGGGGAGTCGTCGGAGGGCAGTAGGGTCAGTCCAGCAGATAGTCATGTGAGCCAGTGGGAAAGAAAGGTTAGTCCCTGGGTGGGGGGCTGCTCTTCACATCAGCGTCTCTGTTCAGGTCCAGTGGGTGTGGCCAGAGCATCGCGGTCCTCCTGTCCTGTCTCTCTTACGGGGACTGTGATCTCTGGGACTTCCCTGGCCTCCCTCACTTTTGGGACTGGCCTTCCAGAGCCGAAACTGGAGTCCAACCTGCTTGGAGCCCCTCCAAAGCAGGGATGACCATGACATACCCCTGAGTTCCCTGCCAACACAGGGTGGCGCAAAGCAGGTGTCTCAATGCAGTGGCCGGGTGCTAGGAAGGCTTCCATGGGAATACCCAGAGCCCAGTCATGGAGATTGGCCTCCCCAGCCTTTTCTTCCCAGCTATTGAGAGGTGGCGGGGAGCACAGTGAGGACTAGACTCCCAGGAAAGGGGTCAGGAGGAAAGAGAAAGGTGCCGTCTTTCAATGCTGCTCTGCTGGGAAGCCCCACTGGCCCGAGCCCTGTGCTGTCCCCTCCATGTGCCTGAGCTCCTTGTTCTCCTCACAGTCCTGTGAGAGAGGGATTATCACCCTCCCTCTTATAGAAGACGTTTAAGGCTCAGAGAGGTTAAGTATGAGGTATGATAAAAAAAATACGGTGAATGTTTAAATTAAAAAAAATTATTACAGGGGCTGGTCGAGTGGCTCAGTTGGTTAAGAGCTCGCTCAAGAGTTTGAACTCTGTGCAACAGCAGTTCAATTCCTGGCCTGAGTTGAGCTGCCAACAGGTGGCAGGATGGCTTGGCTAAAAAAAAAAAAAATTATTACAGTAAAAGACGCATTGCCATTAATTCCCCTCAAAATACCCAAAGGAATATTTTGAACACACTTATTCCCTGCTTTGAACACACTTATCCCATCATTCTTGCCACTCTCTGAAGCAGTTCTGGAAGTCCTTTTTTTGTGAACGTCATTAGTTGCGCTGTTGTGGCTGCCTCAATGTCCTGAATCAATTCAAAACATTTTCCTTTCATGGTCATTTTTACTTTGGGGAAGAGCCAGAAGTCTCATGGTACCAGATCTGGTAAACCATAATGTTTTTATTTGACAGAAATTGCCTTACCAGAAGCTATGTGTGACACAGAGTGTTGTCACGATGGAGGATGAAGTAAAGGCACTCATGAAAGAGTACTTCCAGAACTGCTTCAGAAAGTGGCAAGAACGATGGGATAAGTGTGTTTGAAGCGAGGGGGAATGTTTTCAGGGGATTAATGGCAATGTGTCTTTTACTGTAATAAAATTTAAAAAAAAAAATTTAAACATTTACCGTATTTTTTGATCACACCTCATAACTGGCCCAAAGATACACAGCTCTACAAACGCTCATGATCATTTCACTGTCTTGTGCCTGGCACTTCATATCATTTGACTCTACACATCATTTGACTCTATCCCTGTGTAAGAATTATTTTACAAGATAATGCTGAAATAATTTGGGAGCAAAAACTATGTCTATGATTTGTTTAAAAATAATTTGGCAGGGGAGTGTGTGAGGAGATAGAAGAAACAAGTTTGGTGAAATGTTGATAATTAGTGAAGCTAGATGCTGGGTACACAAAAGTTCATGGCTACTATTCTCTACGTTTATGTATGTTTGAAATGTTCCATGATAAAAGTTGCATCAAGTTAAAAATAGTCCCCATATGCTTGAATTTTGGAAAGAATTTATTACTCATCAGAGCTCACATTTACCAAGTGCTGAAATAAGAGCACACGTGACTTCAGGGACTCTGCCTCAAAGCTGTGTGGTGGGAACAGTCATAATCTCTGTTTTACTGATTAAGCAACTGAAGCTCAGAGAGGGGAGGCACCTTGCCTGAGGTCACACAGCTGTGGTTCCTGCGTCTGGATCTGGGCTCAGGTTGTCTGACCCAGACCCATTCCTCTGAGTCCTAGGGGCCCTTCCTCATCAAGAAAGGAGTAGTGTTCACCTGCTCCCTTCCAAGCTGAGCTCCTGCCTGTGCTGGGAGGGGAGCAGCCACACTCCCCCTGAAGCATTCAGGGGAGGGAACCAGGCCCCTTGGAGCGCAGGCTTTCTGTAGAAGGACAACTTGGGGGTCATGAAGACACTGGGGAGCCACCGGCCTGGGCCTGGGTGGGGTGGGTGGCCCAGGGAACCCTGCTTTCAGCTCACACCACTCAGCCCACCTAACTCGATCCCAAGGGAAGGGATGAAAAATGTCCTGAATGAGTTATTTCTGCTCCAAAACCTTACACCTTGTGAATGACCACTTTCAACAGCCCATTCAGAGGTCTCAGTTGTATCTTATTTCCATCCAGTGGGTGGTTAGAAGCGATTTCCCAGCATAGCCCTAACAGGTTTTCAGGTCCTTGAGAAAATACTGCTTCTCAAGGAAACCAGCCTAAGACTTACACCCATCTCCCACCGTGGCCAGAACGACAGGGTCTGCCTCTGAAATGGCTGTGCCAATGGCAGAGGAGGGCCTGATAAGGGCCGATAATTTTGCCTAGTCAATGGTTTAGACCTCATGACTGCTGAAGGCCTCCTGGGGGGCGGGGTAAGCAGCAAAAAACTGAATTCTCATCACCCTACATACCCTCTACTCTATCCATCCATCCATCCATCCATCCATCCAACCATCCATCCATCTATCCATCCATCTGTTCTCCACCGATCTGCTATTGTTCATCTCCCCTTTTATATAGTCACCCATGTACAGATCCATCAACTCACTCATCTATCCCTTCTCTCTCCTTTCTAACATTTACCCACTCACCCTTGCACCCACCACCCATCCACTCATCCATCCACCCACCCACCACCCATCCATCCTTCCATTCATCCTTATTCATCCATCCGCCCCGCCACCTCCACTCACCCCCATCAACACACGCCCACACATCCATCCACCTATCCACCCACCTACCTACCCTCCCATCCATCTATTCATCCATCTACCCATCCATCATTCCATCAATCTTCCCACACCCATTCACCCCACAAATCCACCTGCCTATCGAACTACCCAAACATCTATCTTCCCCCTCCACCCATCCATCAAAGTAGCCAACTAGCCAGCCAGTCAGCCAGCATCTCCTCTCCCTGTTTCTCCCCCTCCCCCTATCCATCCAGTCATCAAGCATTCTCCAACTCCATTCCCTGCTGCATCCAAACCAAGAGTCATGACCCCCAGATGGACCAGGAGGTGCAGAGAAGAAGGAGGGATGACCCTCATCTCTCCAAGTTCTCAGAACAGCTAAGTCACTTGTTATGCGAAGTGACCTCAGGGCAGGAACTCCCTCTCTGGGCCTCAGCTAGACCTTGGGCTTTATGGCTTCCTTTTGTCCACCAGCCTGCCTTAGCAGTTTTCCTTTGCATCACATGCAGTTGGCTCTGTCATGTCCAGGTCCACTTTGAGGTATATCACTAGCTACCAGCTTGTTATGTATGGTCAGTGTCTTCCCAGGGCAACTGACATACACTAGCCCTAATGTCCTCCTTCTAGATAAAGCAATGTCAGTGCAGGCCACAGTCATTCTGCAGGTGCTGATAAACCTGCCCTTTCTAAGTGTACCAGCAGGGCCCCCTTCATTCCCTTTTTTGTATTCTCGCCATAATCCTGGAGGATTTTTGTCCTCCTGTCACCCATAGGGAAGTGAGGCTTGGAGACCTTTAAGTGCCTTCCCCAGAGTAACACAGCTGTGAGAGCTGGGCAGGGCACCGGGCGCAGAGGCACCAGATGCCCAGTACACTGGCTGCTTCCCAGGCCACTGGAGTGCAAGGGCTGCGTTTACCCTTGGGGGTGGTTTGAGCCACGGGGGGCCTTCTCTCCTCCTCTACCCCTCCCCCCCTTACAATTTACCCCCAGAGGCTCAGAGGAGCCCAGGAGACTGTGCCCAGACAATGTGTGGCTGTTTTTACCACCATTGCTGTTAGCTTGGTTTGCCCTGCAGAACTCTTTCCCGCACTAACTGGCAGGCCCTTGTCCAGGAGCACTGACTGCCAGCCCAGCCCTGGTGTGGTACAGCAGTGGGAGGGTGAGGCCTCTGCGGCACAAGGCCCAGGAAGACCCTGCCAGGCCCGCCTAATGGGTCACAGACCAATGACCTGACCATGCAACCACAAGAATCCATGAGTGGGCCTCCCCTCTCCCCCGATCTGATGCCATTGATGAGAACAGGGCTGGAGAGAGGACAAGAGACCAGTGCTGGAGCCAGAGTGCCTGATTTCCTGATGGGGCAGAAAGGGGCTGGTGTTAGAGGTGGGGAGACAAGGGCCCTGAGGTGGGCTCAGGAACTGGCTCAGGTCCCCGTGTGAGGGTGCAGGCAGGGTTGAAGGATTCCCTGTCTCACCCACCTCGTCACAGGGGGCGATGCGGCCCACCACGTCCTTCACGTGCCCGATGGTCGACTCCTCCTGGAAGTCCCGCGGGAAGGTCTCTGTCCACTCGGCCAACAACTGAAGCAGTTTGGGGCCAAACTTCCGGACCCGGGCCTGCAAGGCAAGGCGAGGGGTGCCCGCACTGGATGAGGGATGCTGGGACCATATCAGCCACCACCTCAGCAACTCTCTGCCAGGTCTTGGCTGTCCTGGCTGGGGATTCGCGACAGTGTCTTCCCAGTGCCAGGCGACAAGAAACTCACACGGGGATAGGGGTTGACCACAGGGGAGCAAACAGGGGACAGACAGATTTGAAGCAGAGTCATCTCCTGTTTTTGCCTGCTGGGTATTCCATCCCCCTTTCTGTAGTGACACATTTCAGTTGCCTTTGGGGTCTCCTTGTCCCCCATTCCCAGCCTGTGGGGTTCGGGACAGCTGACCCCGCCCCAGGGCTCCAGGAGCAAGCTGAGATTTGTGCTGGCCAATCAGAGCATGGGACACCTCATCATGTGCAGTGATTGGCTCATAGGAAGTCATGTGGCCTAGGTAAACCAGTGAGATTGGGATTTTTATTGCGCCTGCTGAGAACCGGCCTCACTCTGTCCACCGGATTGGAAAGGGTAAATAGACTGCGAGCCTGGAGCAGTGGAGGCCGCCTCTTCCTGTGGGGGGTGAGCCTGCCCAGGAGAGAGTGAGACTGGCCCAGGGGGAAACGGAACAGAGGGTAGGAGGTAGAAAGACCATGTTTTAATAATGTCATTTGAGCCCCTGGATCCAGTGGTGCTTGAGACTTTGCAGTTACATGAGCCTGTAAAGTCTCTTTGCCTTAAGCCAGTTTTGCTGGGTTTCTGTCACTAACAATAGAGCCCCATGGATACACTGCAAGTAGTCGCAGCCCGAGGGATCTGGCCGGGGCAGGATCCACTGGAAGGTTGGGCCACAGAGGGAAAGGTGGAACGGAGTGTGGTGGGGGTTAGGAAGCCCAGCAGATGCTGCAGGGCCATTCCAGATGGCAGGAGTTCTATTGATGAGGCTCTGGGGGCCTGGGTCTGGGCTTGATGTGAGCTCAAGGGCTCCCACAGGGCACTAAAAAACAGCCCCTGGGGTTAAAGATGCCAAGTCTGTCCCTTTTGGCTCGGGGCCTCAGAAAGTCAGAAACCTCTTGTGGGCTCCACATCAGGAGAATGGGGACAATCCCTGCCTCTCCAAGGGTGATGCACAGAGGCATGTCAGGGCAGTACCAGTGCACTCAGAGGCCCCTGCTTTGCCCTGCCCCTCACCTTGTCCAGCACCGGCTTGTCCAGCTGCTGCTGCTCAATACACAGGTGGCAGACCCGGGCCAGGAGCTCCCGGGGCTCGATGAAGAGGCGGGAGCTCAGCAGGAAGGTGAAGATGTAGGCTTTCTGGGGGAAATGGGAGAAAGGTGGCACGTGCTCACCAGGACATGGAGGGGACATGCCTCCCCCCACCCCAGGCCCGAGACCAGCCCCAGCCCTGTTGTCTCCCCCATGCTAGGAGGAGAAGAGCCCACTCTGCTACCCCCTCCCGCCCCCACCTGGGTGGGCCACCCACCTCGGGGTAGTAGTCGGCTGTGGGCACCAGGTGCTGGATCAGGGTGTCCAGGGAGGCTGAGGATGGAGCCCCATCCAGGAGGGGCTGACTGGCTTGCTCGCCATCTGTGGGCTTAGTGGGGGGTGGGCCAGGGCTGCTCGGGGTGACCATGTCAGAGGCGCTCAGTGTCCGGGGCATGCCTGCCTGCAATGGCAAGGAGCAATTGGGGCACACCTAAGCTGGGGCTGCTGACTTCCTGGGCTTCTGGCTGGGTGGGCCCTGCCTTCTCCAGGCACTTCTGTGCCCACCTGGGCCCAGTAATCACTTCCTAAAGGGCTGCCAGAGACCCCCAACTCACACAGCATCCCCCAGGAGCCAGCTCTCCTCTACTCTCATCCAAGCCATTTAGGGACTGCTCTTTTGAGAGTCGACTTCCACCCCCGGTGTAGGGTGTTTGTGAGAAGGCCCAGACAATCGGCATAACCTCCCGCCTTGGCCAGAAAGATTGGACAGGATTGAACCTTATCCGAACTGTGGCCTCAGGTGCAACCCTAGAACTTCTCTGGAACTTGGAAGTTCTTTCACCCAGAGTTCCTGAGCTGGTGGAATGGCACTGTTCCATCTTGTCCCCTAAGGGGCCAATAAAGTGGGCACATTTCTGAGGTCAGCATGTGAGGCTCTGAGTCCTGCTGTGCCTGAAGCTGCCCTGTGGCTTTCTCCATTGCATGAGCCTGTTTAAGCTGGGTTTCTCTCCAGAGCAGCCAAATGGCGGCCGCCCATAGCCTGGTCCTCCAGGCTCTTTGTGATTAGGCCCCACTGACCGTCCAGCTGTTCCCTCCTGCAGGTTCTCCCACACCTTCACGCCTCCATCCCTCTGGACATGGCTGAAATGCCTCCTCCTTCTTGGAGCCTTCCCTGATTTCTGCAGTGACCCCCGTCCCTCCCGCCAAGGGGGACCTGACCTCTGGTGGGACAGATTCTCCTTGTCAACACTGTTGAGTGCTGGGGTGCTGCTGGTGGTGCCTGGTGCAGAGAAAGCCCACCTGTGGCTGTGGCATGGCAACTTCTTTACCCAGACCTCCTCCAGGCAGGGGTCAGGGCCTGTCCTCTGACCCGGCACTGAGTCAAGGGCCTGGCCTGCACCAGGTACCCTCCGCGCGTGTTCAGTGGACCCATGCTTCCTCTCCCAGGCTCTTCCATGAATCCTTGTAGGCTAGTCTTCCTGAACAAAGCTTGCCAGGGCCTTTACAGCCACAGATTCCGGCCAAGCCTGCGACTGTTTTACCATCCTAGACATTCAAATTCCCCCACATTCTTAACCATGGAGTCCTGTGAGCTCACCACTGGGACCTTCCAGGGATGAGAGTCTTCCCATTGCCCACCTCACCTCACCCATACTGCCCCCATGGCAGACCCTGACCCAGGCCCGTTTCTGTCTTTTCTGGTCCCCTGGGTGACCTGTCCCTGAAAGGAGACAGAGGGACATAGAGAGTCAGAGTTGGGGCTCAGAGGGAGCTCACAGAGGGCCGTTCGGAGGGTTTGGAGACTGGGTCACAGCCTGGGGAGGGCGTGGGAACCAGTGTAGAAGCAGCCTGAACCGTGCTGGCCCTGGGGACAGCCACAACTTTATTTTCACCTCCCCGGCAAAGCTGTAAGTGTGCAATTTTCAGCCAATGAAACTAAAATTTCACAAAACCACATCCTGTTCATCCCAATGTGATGAACATGGGCATACAGGGGTGATGGTTAGCTCTGGGGTGGGCGAGGCTCTGTCCCACACCCAGGACCCCGTGTCTGAGCCTGATTCCACAGGACAGAGCACACACAAGGCCAGCAGGGTCCACTTTCTTGCCAGATACGTGGCACCTTTTCCCTGTAGCGTTGGGCCTCCCCGAGATCCCACTACCATTTTCTCAAAGACTGGCCAGTAGCCAGAGTGGAGGGTGGTCTACCAGACGTGTGGGAGGGGCCTGTGAAGGCCAGGATGCCATCACTTCAAGAGACAGGCTGGGAAGCTCGCAGAACACCTCTGGGCCTGGCCTGGAACTGGGGGCTGGGTGTGGGGTGCTGGGCTCATGGGGTGGGAACCATCGTGACCCACAGGGACTCTCAGCAGACAGTTGCCCCTCCAACCTCCCACCAGCCATTGTGTCCTCAGCTGGGCCCAGGCCTGGGTCTCAATGGACCAGCTTGTCCTCCTACCACAGCCTGCTGTTTCCTCCCACCGTTGCTGAGGGACATTTATTCATGTGTGTACAGGCATGCAGCGATGGCTGGCACTGTTCTAGGTGCTTAGGATTGAGCAGGACCTCTCGGATCTGGTGCCAGGAGGCAGACAACAAGCAGGCTGAAGCATGCCAACAGACTGTCCCACGAAGGCATGTGCTCTGCTGTGTGGGCCCAGATGAGGGGAGTGGGGGTGACAGCTCCCTGTGTTGGATGTTCCCTCAAGAGAGGGTGGATGAAGTCAGAGCCTGGTGGTGCCCACTTATCCCTGTAGGTGCACTGGAGAGGACAGGGCCAAGGGGGCCCACCCCTGGCCTCTGTGTGGGGACTTCCAGGGGCGCAAGCCGGCCTCCCCCCACCCAGAAGGGGCTCCAGCCTGCTGGGACAGAGAGGAGCTGGGGGCAGGGTCTGTGCTGAGGACTGAGGGCGGGAGGCAGTCTGCAGAGACTTGCCAGGCAAGGGGGCAGCATGTCACAGGCCCCTCTGAGCTGGGGCAACATGGTGTGCTTACCATGTTGTATGTGCAGAAACACAGCCGAGTGAAGATGGAGGCTCCCACCTGCCCCATGCGCCCCTCCCATAAGCAGCTGCTTGTATTACTTTCTGTGTTTCCAGAACTTCTTTATACAAGAACAAGAAAACAGAAATATATATTCTCCCTTTTCTGTCTTTATTACACAAAAATGTAGCACATTGTGCACACTGTCCTCTGGTCTTCTCACTGACACTGCAGTTTGGAGATCTTTCTATGGCAGAACAGAGCGTCCTCATTCTTTTTAAACTGCCTCACAGTATTCGATTATTTGGATGTCCAGTGATAATGTTTAAAAGCCCATGACAAAGCAACTCAAGTGTCCATTGATGGGTGAATGGATAAACAAAATGTGGTCTATCCACAAAATGGAATATTATTTAGTCTTAAAAAGGACAGAGGTTCTGACACAGGCTGCAATGCGGATGGACCTTGAGTACATTATGCTAAGTGAAAGAAATCAGACACAAAAGGACGGATACTGTATGATTCCTCTTATCTGAGATTCCTGGAGTAGTCAAGTTTATAGAGACAAGTTTATAGTGTCCTTTCATCTTAGTTAACTCCTTGGAAATTTATCCCAAGAAAATGATCTAAAGAGGAAAAGCTGTGGAAAGGAGTTTGCTTTGGTGTTAATTATAAGCAGTGAAGAAAATCTCAGAGCACCATGGATAATGAGCATAAGGAGAAGAGACAAGGACACTACCATCTACTGCCCGTCAGTGGAGTGTGTTGCCGCTGAAATGATGGTTATGAAGATTCAGTGATCACACAGACACGATTATGGCATAACAAAGTGAAGATGGCGGAGAGAAAACTGCACATACCACAAGATACAAACATATTATTCAAGTGGTGAAAACTACGAGGGGCACTGAAAAATGCGTCATTGATGTGCATGTCACCTGCCCTGTTGTCGTTTTAGTGTTATTCATCCAGGTGAACGTAAAGATCAATCATCCAGCGAAGCCATGAGGATGAAAGGCCTCAGGAACACCTGAACAAATCCCAGAGCCCTGGTGGGTGGTGGGGTCAGGGACATGCCCACCCTGTGACCAGGTCACCGAGGGGACACAAATGCCTTGTTATGGCATACAACCGAGAATGGCCAAGCTGCAAAGTCCACTTTCTGACCTGTCCAGGTGAGGGTCCCCTTACCCCAGGACAAGAACGCACCACACTGCCCACACTGGACCTACCTGCCTGGCGCCCCTTCTGACCCCCCCGGGTACCCTGGACTCCCCCCCACCCCCCAGACCTCACTTGGCCTTGGTCTCCCTAGGAGGAGCCTGGTTTATACATTGCTGCACCCCCAGGGCCAGGCCCCATACCTTGCACACCCATAATGGGTTCTCGGTCAAGATGTGTGGCATTCAAGTGATGCAGGTGAGAAGCAGTGAAGCCTGAAATGAATAGTGCAAACAGCGGGGGTGAGAAGCAGCTGACATACTAGGCATTAGAGTGGCAGAATCAGTGAGAGGGAGGAGCTGGGGAAAGGCCCGGGAACCCGGCCTGGGAAGGCTGACAGGGCCACTCCTCCCTGCCTGACCACCCCATCTCCTCCCTTAGCCTTCCCATCTCACAGATGAGGAAACAGGCTCAGAGTACAAGGCAGAAGCCCAGTTCACACAGGTGTCTGAGTCCCAGGCACTGTTCTTGCCCAGCAATGATGCTGGGGTCCCCAAGCCACAGCGTCAAGGGGACGCCATCAGACTCCTGAGGTGTGCCAGCGGTGCCCAGGATATGAGGAGAGAAGCACGCACTGGCTGACTGGCGGTCACAGTGGCCCCTCCTGGGGCCTAGCCAGCCCCTCTGGGCATTGCATTCGGCCTGTGGGAGCACAGAGGATCCCCACTCCGTGGCCGAGTCTCCTTCCCAGCCCAGATCCGAGATCTAGACCCAAGCCCACCCCTCCTGGGGCCTCCGTCTGCTGGGTGTTACTTCTCTGCATCCATTTCCTTTCTTTTTCACTAGAACACTGGAGGTTTTGCCTTGGGGAATAACCACAAACGGTGGTTGTGGGACTGATCCTTTCTTCACCTGGCCAACGGATGGGCACCAGCCAGGCTAGACCAATCAGATGAAGCCACCCTGGAAAATGCACATGGGGACCTGACCTGAGGAGTGCTGACCCCTCTGCAGGCCCGGTGTGGGCGGGCCTGGGGTGGCTTCTGAGTCACAGCTTCCCCGCTCCTAGGCATGCCCTTCTGCCTTGGTTTCCCACTGCCCAGCCCCCACCCCTCAGGCGTATCCGTGTCTCCTCATGTTTAGGTCGCCAGGACCCACATCTGGAGGTTCTTGGGCTCCTGTGACAGTTATATGGAGGCAGCCGTCTTGCACTGTGGAAATTGGGTCCTCGGGGAGATGGGGAGAGGACCTTGCAGGTGCGCTCCCTGTGGGCCACCAGCATCCAACTGGGCATCCTGCCTTCTGGGTTGCGCACTGGCAGGCCACCCAGCTCAGGAGGTCTGCCGCTGGTCAAGGATCCAGGACTGTGTGGCTTAAGCCTAACTCCTCTCTGGGAGACAGTTTGAGGATTGGTTTTAATTCTTCTTTAAATGTTTGGTAGAATTCACCAGTGAAGCCATCTGGTCCAGGGCTTTTCTTTGTCAGCGGGATTTTGATTACTGATTCAATCTCCTTACTAGTTAAAGATCTATTTAGATTTCTTTGTGATTCCGTCTTGGTAGGTTTTGTGTCTCTAGGAATTTGTCCGTTTCATCTAGGTTATACAATTTGTCTTCATATAATTGTTCATAGTACTTTCTTATAATCCTTTTTATTTTTGTAGAATTGGAAGTAATATCTGATTTCAGTAATTGAGTCTT